CTTACTTATGAAAGCCGCTTTCAATATAGCAAATTCTGCGCATTGCTCAGGGGATTTAATAAAGATCAGTCCAGGCGGAGGAAGTTTGATATTGGCATGTGTCTGGTAGCATTTTGAACCATATCTAGTTAATTAGTAGGAATTTTTTTATGGAAGCATACGAAAACATAAGAATTTGAACTCCTATCCGAGCTGCTGGGGCCTTGATCATGCCAGAGTTGGAATGCCGAACACCCGCTCTTCTTGATTTAAACCCGATTAGGTTGCCCGCTCTCTCTATGGATAGGAAGATCCGGAGAAAGCGGCAGTGGAAGCAACGAAAAGAGCTCCGTTCCTCGCCCAGACACTCCAATTCTTTTGGTCGGGCTACTCCGTTCAAACCATCAATCGGCGGTTCCTTACTAAGAGATTAAACCGGAATGAGATATTATCTCTGTTGGCTTCGCTTCGTGGACAAATAGGAATGGTACTTGACCGCCTATTCTTAAATAAAAATGGAAAATACTAAGACTAATACAAGGCTGGTTCCAAAGCAGATTCATTCAAAGCCGGTTCATCCAATCACAAAGCAAAAGAAGGAGGAGGTTACCCGCCGACTGAAAGGAGAGGGGACGGGGGTTGACCCGCAGTAGTAGTTGAGTTGTCGGAGCGTCTATACGGGCCTTCGATTGGGGTGAAGCTAAAACGGAGTTCCTTTCTTCTTTGTCCGCTTCAGTTGGAGGTGAGTCTTTTTCTGATGGTTATTCCTCCTAATCTACGATGTACGCACCGCGGCGGTCTCAAGATCTTTCTTTATCTTTATTCTGGTTTTGTTTTCCCCCGAGCGCATCTTCCTTTTTGAATGAGCAAAGGTGTGGGCCTAGGTTTAGTAAAGAGTAAGGGACATATCGACGAACTGCGGATTAGCTCTTTCTGTTGTACGCTGCTGCTGTTTGATACATTTAGGTGGAGCAGGTAAACTCCCTCGGGGCGTTTCGCCAAGCCCTTTGACACCTTCTTTCTGGTCTATCCTCTGACGATATTTTATGATTCGACGGAGGCCCTCCCTCAGGCATGGTAAGCAAGTAGACTACTTTGGCCCTATCAACTTAGTTTGCGCCGCGTAGATATCTAGCATCTGGACGAGCAGCCACCGTTTCGGATCAAAAAGTAAAGAGGGCGCCGCCCGATTCTTTCTTTTCTAGTCCCTCCACCGAACCAGATCTACTAAAGACTTCAACGGTTTCTTTTTTTTTTTTGGTACCGGTGTTGGAATTTCGTGGATAAGTCGTGACAGAGCCGATGAATCCAATTATGAAAGCAAGGCTCCCGCTAAATAAAATTTTGAAAGTATCGCGGTTAGTTCTTCCGAAAGGAGGTGGGGCGAGAAGCCCGTCTTAGTCTGTATAAATGGTGAAACGGGCGCAAAGGAACGTAGCGAAGCGGAGTAGCTCGATAGACGAACGCGGCTTACCCCACTCAGCCGAAAAGCGAGGGTCCGGAGGAGAACTACCTTTTTTCTTACGATTGGCATTATCAGGTACTCCCCCAGCAGTTTTGCCGAAGCAGCGATATACTTCATTTCTTTGTCCTTCAACTAAAACTAATCCAATGGAACTAGGAAATTCATAGGAAAGCCCTCAAAAGATCGGATAAGGCAGCTCATATAGTTCTTGTCTTTCTATCTCCATTTTTCAACCACAGGACCCGAGATTTCCGTCTCATAAGAGACTCCTCCGCGTCAAGCATTGCATTAAGTTCATATAGTTTTCGAGTTTAATCCATCGCTGCTTGCTCATTTCCTTGGTCCTTCGCAAGAATGGTTTCTCGTACAGCTCATCCTTAAGGACGTTGATTCTTTCAGCTATTTTGCCAAAGGTGGTAACGTTCTAACCTTTCAGCGCCTCTTTGACCGCTTTAAGCTTTTGGACACTTGGAACATGGGGTTGCCCTCAACTCGGATATTCCACGCTTGCTTCACAGTTCGGAGAAAGGGGGGATGATTAGACTGCGCATTAATAAACCTTTAAGGTTTATGGCTGTGCTGCACTGAGTGATTCAACTGAATAATGCCTGGGGCATGGTCAGATAGTCCATTAGTACCAGTAATAACTCTAGCTTCGGAGAAGAGAGTAACAATCTCACGGTTAACCAGAATTCTGTCTAACTTGCAAGCTATTCTTCTTCGGCCTTCGAAAACTAAGAGTTTGGTTGAAACTATTGTTGATAGATATCACACGCTTTTTATTGTTATATATATATATATAACGTTATAAGTATAACTAACTGAAAGCGTCCGTTCACGTCAGGAATAGAGGTTGTTGATGTAGTTGCTTGTAGTTTTCTTTGATTTTTCTCGAGTTGGTGCATATTGCATATATAGGCTCCGGAGAGAGAATCAATGTTCGGTAGTACGCCTGGTTCGCCAGGTTCTACCACTGCAGGGCCCAATCATACTCAAAAGAAGAGTATGATCTTGGCTCAGAAGGAACGCTAGCTATATGCTTAACACATGCAAGTAGAATACGGCCGTGCTTGCTCGATCAGTGGAGTGAATGGACTCCACGGGTGAGAGACCAAAAAGGAGCAGCGGGTTAAAGTCTTCGCTCGCTTTCCAACCACCGAAAAATGGACTTCAAAAAAAAAGAGGGAGAATACCTTTGCCTGACATAACTACAAACAAGCAACGGATGAGTGCCCTAGCGCGAAATGGAAATCGAAAAAGAAAAGATTTAACGGCTCCTTTGCGGGATGGGAAGCATCCCCCCTCCCCCCTTCAAGTAGACAATTCGAGATCCCCCTTGCTTAATTCACTCAATTAGCAATTTAAATTGGAATTGGAATATTCCCCCGCTCGAAAGAGTTCGCTCATCATCCTTTCCCTCGCCAAATACGGGGGACATGTTACCATGTATCCAAACGGAGAAGCAGAAGCAGAAGAATAGGATTGAGATTGCCAAAGACCTTTTGGGGGAAGTCAAAAACAGTAGCAGTTGGGGACGCCTAGTCCATCATACTATAGTGGTCTTACATACAGCTAGTGTCGGCAGGAATGGAACAGAAATCTCGTATATGAAAAATTTTTAGTATATATAGCGGAGTAGCTTTCTTTGTTTGAAGGCTTCAAGTGAGAGAGAGGATAGGATCAAACCATCGCATCACCAAAAGGTGCTCGGGTGTACCTTAGAGCAACGAAAACGAAGACTTTCGAGAACAAATATTGGACCGGGAATCAAAAGGGGTAAAGTAAAGTAAAAGCGCATATGGCACGAAAAGGAAATCCGATGTCGGTAAGACTTGATCTGAATCGTAGTTCAGATTCAAGTCGGTTCAGTGAGGGCGACCGCGAAAGTCACCGAATGGGTCAGTCTTTTCCTTCAGTTTGTCCTATATTAAAAAAAAGCGTGGGAGGACATTGCAGATGTCCGGGACGGACACGACTTCTTCTAACGCTAGAAGACCACTGGAAGACACCCGGGACCAGAGCATGTCGTGAAAGAAGCACACTGGGCGGGCGTGCTTCGACCGTGTCTCCGGGGCACAGTTGAATGTAGATATCATGAATGCGAGGTGCAGGAGACCAGGCCGAGAAACCCGGGCAACCACTCCCCTATGTGCCGATCGCTAGCGCATCCAGGGCCCCGGCGCCCAGCTCGGCCGGAGAGGCCTAGCCTGATCTGAGAAGTGCTAATTCGGTTCGGATAGACTTCATTCAAGAACGCCGCCGCCCCTGGAATCAATAAGAAAACAAGTGCAAAGTTTCAGATCAGTGAATAAATCGAAACGAAAGAAGAGACGTTTCTCGCTCGGCGCCTAAAGCGCACTATGCTCCGCTTCAACAAATGAGAGTTTTCGGTGGAACCGGTGAACCACGCGAGCTGGTTAGATGCGCGGGACAGAGGGCTCGTAGTACCTGCTAGCGCAGCTATGCTCTGTAAGGGAAGGAGCCTAAATCGAACCCCTTCTTTCTTTTTTTTTCTTTGAAAAAAAGCAGTACAAAGAGATTCTCGGATGAGACTAAGCAGCCACCGACCGTTCTGACGCGCCCCTGACCTATCTTGATTAAGACCGAAAACTCTCTAAAATGGAGCCTGGTTTAAGCTGTCAAACAAATGATAGAATAGAAAAAAAAAGAACCACTAGTAGGGATATGGATGGAGTCTCGCTCAGTAAAGAGAGTTGTAGATTAGTAGAAAAGGAGAAGAGCCTTTACTTGATATATTATATATAAGTATTAGTAAAGCGCTAACGCTGCCATTTTTCTAAAGCAACAAGCGCGAAACTTTACTTTTTGAGAAAGAAGGTGCTTGTTGCCGCTTTATTAGTAAGTAAGCTTGTTTTATATCATATCAATAAAGGCGAAAGGTTGCTTTACCAAATAATATAAGGCGCGTTAGCGCTTTAGAAGGACATTTAGGCTTTACTAATAGAATATATAGGGCGTTTTTTTTCACGCAGGTTTGGAACCCGGGGCGTTTCCTTTCAAATGACAACAGCCTCTTCCTGCTGCGAGGGCGCTGCGCGAAACCAAACCGCCCCCCCCCCGCCCGATCAAGTACCAGTTGCTTTGCCGGCGGGCCCACTTAGGTTAGGGGGGCATTGTCCCTCAGTTCTTACCAACCTCCGGTGTGTAATCGACATGTTGCTAGCTTCAACTCGGTTGAATAAGAATCATTGATTCCCTATGCTGTCCATTTCTTATTCATTCAGGGCGCTCGGCCGGTGCTCCTTTAAAAAACCAAAACCACTCTGAACGTAAGGGAAGATAAGGGAAGACCGCCTGAGCGAACCGACCGAAAGGACTTTTGACTTATTTGAACCGAACGATAGCGGCTTAAAGCTAAGCCTATCACGAGCAGCGTCGCTGCTTGATCGGCGGGGAGGAGCATCTCAAAGTATGGGGCAAAGGATCAAGCGCTTTGACTTTGCCCCCCGGGATCCACCACGGGTTGGGTTTGAGAGCCGTGTGATGGGTGACTATCCTGCACGGTTCGGGGAGCACTTTTTGTCTGCGTTGGTGAATGGAAGCCCCCACTATCAAGCAAGAAAGAAGCGGCTCTTCCCACGGCGGAGTCCCCATTGACTCTATTTATTATTATGGTAAATCAGTGTATCAAGATGTCAATCTGAGATCTTATTTCGGTTCAATACGTCCACCTACGAGACTGACCTTTGGCTTTCGTCTCGGTACGTGTATTATAATAAATTTTCCCAAAAGAACATTCATTCATTTCTTTCTTCCCCGTCGACCACGACGACTGAAACGACACGAAAAATCCAGACCCGGAAAGGAGAAGGGCCGGTGGTGGGCATTTGGGAAAGTCGGGCCGATCGGGTGTCTTCATTCAAGCGACGATACAGAAGAAGAACGAAACGAAGTGAGAGGCCGGGGGGCAGGGAAAAGAGTCGAGTCGATCAGGCTCGACGACCGGGAGAAGCAAAACGAAATTAGGATTTGGCCGAAAAAGAAGCAACGCTATGGATACCATGACCGATCACCATCGATAAAGAAGAATCTTTCTAAATCACTTCGGGTCAGCAGGGCCTTCAAGCATCCGAAATACGCCGGGGTTGTAAATGACATAGCGTTCCTGATAGAAAATGACGACTCCTTCAGAAAAACTAAGTTATTCAAGTTCTTTTTGCCAAAGAAGTCCCGCTCCGACGGCCCGACGAGGCATCTACTTAAAAGGACCCTCCCTGCAGTGCGCCCCTCCTTCAATTATTTGGTCATGCAATACTTATTGAATACAAAGAACCAAATGAATTTCGACCCCGTCGTAGTTCTCAATCATTTCGTGGCACCGGGCGTGGCTGAACCATCTACGATGGGGGGAGCGAATGCACAGGGAAGAAGCTTAGATAAGAGAATACGTTCTCGCATCGCTTTTTTTGTAGAAAGCTCGACCAGCGAGAAAAAGTGTTTGGCCGAAGCCAAAAAGAGGTTGACCCGCTTCATCCGCCAAGCGAATGATCTTCGCTTCTCGGGAACAACAAAAACCACCATCTCGCTCTTTCCTTTTTTCGGTGCTACCTTTTTCTTTCCAAGGGATGGGATTGGGATGTATAATAACCTTTTTTTTGAGGATGCCCGGGAACAACTCCTAGGTCAATTAAGGATCAAATGTTGGAACCTCATGGGTAAGGATAAGGTAATGGAATTGATAGAGAAATTCATAGACCTAGGTAGGATAGGAGAATTGATAAGGGGAATAGAGATGATGATAGAGATCATACTGAGAAACAGAAGAATTCCGTACGGGTACAACTCTTATTTGAACGAAGTGAAAAAAATGCGATCTTTGTTGTCTAATAGAACAAACACTAATACCTTAATTGAGTCGGTCAAGATCAAATCTGTTTATCAAAGTGCTTCTCCGATTGCTCAAGACATCTCTTTTCAACTGAGAAACAAAACAAGATCATTTCGTTCCATTTTTAGTAAAATAGTGAAGGATATTCCATTAGTAATGAAAAAAGGGGTTGAGGGGATCCGTATATGTTGTTCAGGTCGATCAAAAGGCGCAGAAATTGCTAGAACTGAATGCGGAAAGTATGGAAAAATATCTCGTAATGTATTTAACCAGAAAATAGATTATGCTCCTGCGGAAGTATCTACCCGTTACGGAATCTTAGGTGTCAAAGTGTGGATTTCATATTGTTAAAAAAGAAGGGGGGCATGCTTTTTCTAGAATGGCTATTCTTCACTTCGGGCCCGGTGGAACTTGTTCCAAACGAGCCCTCTTCGGGCGAATTCATTTTTTCTGCCGTTTCCTTAGCGTTTCACACTAAGCAAGTAAACTACCTTTTTTTTTTTTCATTTTTTATAGTTGCCTCTGCGGTTATCCTACGTATGAAAAGGGATCCCGTTTTGATTGCTCTTTTTCGTTCCCGCCCTCTCACAATGCGGCCCTTTTTCTTTGCAATAGCGTTTTTATTAATAATCTGTGTAAACATCCAAATAGCCGCCTGCGACGGGGGAATTCCTTCTCCCGTGCCAAATTTACATCCGGAGGTTCCCCCCGACACCGGTGTTCCCCAAGGGGCACCGGTGCAGATTCCTGTCCCACCTGAAATTCCCCAACTAGAAGAGCCTTTAATGTCCGTGGAGGATAGGTGGAAGGAACTTCAGCTACGGTTAAGTTTGTATTTCCTCGGGAGAAACAGTTGGTCGGACGTCGGGCCATTCGTGAGAATCCTGGAGAGGCAGGTGCCTATAGAAACAAAGATAGAAGCTGCATTGGTGGACGATGGATATAATCGGGAGGATATCCATCAAAAGAGGTTCGAAATAAGGGGAATCCTCTTTAACCGTGGGGTGAACGCGCTTTCTGAACGTACCTTAGATGAGTATTTGGACCAAATCGAAAGAAATGGCACTCGGCAGAGCACTCCCTATAGAAACGTAAGTAGGGCTATCCAGAATTTGGATCTAATTCTGTGACTCCTTCTTTCTCCCATGCTTTCCGTTGGTCAACAACCAACCACAGCTCTCTATAGTTCTTCACTACTCGTACAGGAAGGTAAGAACCACTTTTTTTCTGGAGGGAATCATTTTTTCTCAATCAAGAATGCCTCAACTGGATAAATTCACTTATTTCACACAATTCTTCTGGTCATGCCTTTTCCTCTTTACTTTCTATATTCCCATATGCAATGATGGAGATGGAGTACTTGGGATCAGCAGAATTCTAAAACTACGGAACCAACTGGTTTCACACCGGGGGAACAACATCCGGAGCAACGACCCCAACAGTTTGGAAGATATCTTGAGAAAATGTTTTAGCACCGGTGTGTCCTATATGTACTCTAGTTTATTCGAAGTATCCCAATGGTGTAACGCCGTCGACTTATTGGGAAAAAGGAGGAAAATCACTTTGATCTCTTGTTTCGGAGAAATAAGTGGCTCACGAGGAATGGAAAGAAACATATTAGATTTGATCTCGAAGTCCTCATATAGCACTTCTTCCAATCCTGGATGGGTGATCACTTGTAGGAATGACATAATGCTAATCCATGTTCCACACGGCCAAGGAAGCATCTTTTTTTAATCTCATTATTACTTGGTCGTTAGGAAGAGATTCTTTCTCGATCTGAATAGTGGAATGGAAGGCACTACAAGAAAGATATACCCCTTTTCAAATCGCCCCGCGAAGACGGACGTTCAGAAAGGTTATCGAGATTATCAATCTTTTTAGTGGGGAGGAATAGTGCGGGAAGGGAGCGAGACCAAGCCGAGCCACTAGGAGAGTAAGGACTTCCCACGTGTCAAAATGAATGCAGCCTCAACCAGAGAGATCAACCTGCGCCTTTGATTTTAGGACGCCGGCGGCGCAGAACGCACTAATCCGCGACCAGCTAGTTTTCCGAAACCGAACTGAATAGAATTGTGACTTTCCAAAAATGCTTGCTGAAAATCAAAGAAAGAAGGTCCATTTTCCCACGTAGTTCGTCGGTCAAACCAACGATTCTCTTCTCAAAGTAATAGAGAGATCTTTTTCTAGTTAGACTTCTATCAATGCAATGAAAGAACCATCCCTTCCTATTTGTTTGTCCTGTCAGATAGAAAAAAGAAATTAGAAGCCCCTCTTTACCACTTTAGGGGGTGGGGGTGAAGGGGGGGTTTACATACAACCGAGGCTAAGTGGTTTATGATTGAATCTCAGAGGCATTCTTATCATTTGGTAGATCCAAGTCCATGGCCTATTTCGGGTTCACTCGGAGCTTTGGCAACCACCGTAGGAGGTGTGATGTACATGCACCCATTTCAAGGGGGTGCAACACTTCTCAGTTTGGGCCTCATATTTATCCTATATACCATGTTCGTATGGTGGCGCGATGTTCTACGTGAATCCACGTTGGAAGGACATCATACCAAAGTTGTACAATTAGGACTTCGATATGGTTTTATTCCGTTCATCGTATCGGAGGTTATGTTCCTTTTTGCTTTTTTTCGGGCTTCTTCTCATTCTTCTTTGGCACCTACGGTAGAGATCGGAGGTATTTGGCCCCCAAAAGGGATTTGGGTTTTAGATCCTCGGGAAATCCCTTTTCTTAATACCCCTATTCTCCTTTCATCCGGAGCTGCCGTAACTTGGGCTCATCATGCTATACTCGCGGGGAAGGAAAAACGAGCTGTTTACGCTTTAGTAGCTACCGTTTCGCTGGCTCTAGTATTCACTGGCTTTCAAGGAATGGAATATTATCAAGCACCCTTCACTATTTCGGACTGTATTTATGGTTCTACCTTTTTCTTAGCAACTGGCTTTCATGGTTTTCATGTGATTATAGGTACTCTTTTCTTGATCATATGTGGTATTCGCCAATATCTTGGTCATCTGACCAAGGAGCATCACGTTGGCTTTGAAGCAGCTGCATGGTACTGGCATTTTGTAGACGTGGTTCGGTTATTCCCATTTGTCTCTATCTATTGGTGGGGAGGTATATGAAGAAACGAAACAGTGGATTGAGGAATGAAAGCTCGAAGACAAAGAGAATCGGGCTTTTCCAAAGAATTACTGCAGCTTTCCCACTCCCTTTGATTTTCATATACAAAAAAGTCTCTTCCACTTTCCTACCAAATCTCTCTTTATTCTGGCACATAAATGAAGGGATCGAAGAGATTGTGGCAGATCATGTTCACCAAGAAATGACCCGAAATTTTATCTTGGTCTATTTGAGATTGTTCCTTTTAATCGTAATCAAAGATGTTTTCTTGTCTCTCGTTTCTTTTCCGAACAAATCGAAGAACCTAATGGATCGAACTCGTCCTTAATACGAAGTCCTCTTCTTTACTTTTTATTTTGACTTGGTTGGCAGGGGATCTAAGCGATCACGAGCGCGTCCGATTCAAAAGTTATTTCACAAATTATTTATCCACAGCCCGCTCCGCTGCTGAAGGGATAGAGATAAGCTTTCATAATGAGATTTACTTCCACGAATATGCATGCTAGAAAGATGCTATTTGCTGCTATTCCATCTATTTGTGCATTAAGTTCGAAGAAGATCTCAATCTATAATGAAGAAATGATAGTAGCTCGTTGTTTTATAGGCTTTATCATATTGAGTCGTAAGAGTTTAGGCAATACTTTCAAAGTGACTCTCGACGGTAGAATCCAGGCTATTCAGGAAGAATCGCAGCTAAAGAGGAAGAAAAGAGCACTTTTCATCAAATTGACTTTCTTTTTGATGTTAGTTGTACTTTTCTTTCTCTTTAGCTGGTGGGCCCAGGAGTGGGAGTTCTTTGGGATGGTATCCACACGAGTAGGGCGGGCTCTTTTTATTAAAGGTGTAAGCTCCTTAATGCCCGAAGTGTGGATAAGTTGCGGAGCCAGTTTCGTTGCTTCGGCGCTAGGTGGGGCTCTTATCTCTTGCATGGAGGGGGGAGTACCTCTTCCGGCCGGGACGTCTGGCGCAGGAAGCTCCGGCGCAGGGGGGATGGGAGAACTCACTGGCATGAATGCCCCTGCTTCATCGAGTGGGATACGACCCCCATTTGATCTTAACATGGCTCCGGACCCGGAGCCGGAACCTTCCTCTTCACCCGGCCTCAAAAATAGAATTATCGAGGCGGAGTTAGAAGAGGCCCAGAAAGAACTTCGCTTCTGGGAAGAGAAAGGAAGGCACTATTTTAAGGAGGAGGCCCGCCTCTATCGTGCCGGGCTGGAGGGAGAGAAGATGGAAAAAGAATTCTATTCTCTCGAAAGAAGGGTCGAGAATCTCCGCCTGGAGCATAGGCGGCTGCTTTCACTAATCGCATCGCGTCGGGGCTAGCGCGCTTTTCAAGCGCTTAGCTTCGGGGCGGCAAGGCGTTCCGTTGGAAGCCTAGGCGTACGGTGGAGATTGGTTGAAGATGATGTTACGCGGCGTTCAGAACCAGCCTTGAAGTGAATGAATTAGAAAGAACGAAGGACAATTATGCCATTAGGAAGAAGTCTTCTACAGAGGGAAAGCCTGTTACGAGTAAGTGGAGAGGAAAGCTCTCCAGAGATTCTTATCTCATTCCATTCCAGTGGCTCGACCAGTAACCAATGGCGAAAACTAAAAAATCCATGGTTTCCCGGTAGAACCCCATTTCGCCCAAGTTGTTGCGAAACCGGAAAAAAGAAGCGGTTTTTCGCACAGCTTGCTCATAGTGCAGGTCCCACTTGTATATCGTATTTGGCCGAAGAAGCATCGGACAGGTTGGAGTTCTTACCTTCTTGGGACTCCGTGGACCAAGATCTGCTTTCATTATATGGGCAATACCGATCTACTTTAGTAGATCATATGGATGTAGAAAAAGCTTATGATTTTGATGAAATGGAAACATCTCTTTTCCATTTCTATTTCCCTAGTTCATATCTTTGTTTCGTGTGTTCCCGGGAGTAATTCGATCTCTTCAATCTCGGGATACCACCTAAATAACTGCGGCCAGAGAGTAAAATAGGTCGGGAAGAAAGAGTCTGAGGTTGGGTCGGACGACATACATCTTGGAAGGAAGGTTCATTCTTTAAATCCGATGGTTACTTTTGTTCCACTGCTATCGAAAAGCTTGGACATAGTGCAACAAGAAGAGAATTAGCAGAATAGGATAAAGAATTTTCCTTCAAAAGAAGGGCAGTGTGAAAGGAATAGCGTTGAATCTTGAGAATGAGAATGTACGTAGTAAGTATTACCATTCTCCGGGGCGAAAGTTGTTCTTCTCCTCGGGGCTTTACTTGTATATTTATTACGAAAAGTTGCCGGAAGCGGAAGAGTTTGCCAGGATGGCTTGGTAAGCAAGCAACCAGTTATGTAGGCGCCAACTCCCGGTTCTTTCTCTTCTTTCTTTTTTTTTGTCCTATACGTCTGATCCCCTTTCCGGGGAAGGGGGAACATAGACGGAGGCACATGTAGACAGATACATACTTAGTCAATCTTTTGCCTAAGCGAAGTAGTAGTTGATCCCGTAGAGGCAAGGGTGAATCGAGACCGAAAGCTACTAATAGAATAGCATAATCTGAGCACATAGTCTAAGTAGCAACTGTTAAAGCTCCCTGGTCTCGCAACGGCCGGCTAAAGTTTCCCTGGGCTTGGGCTTGAATGCCGGTGTTTTGCTAGAGAGAGGCCAAAGTAGGGCAGAGCAGGACTTCGTTCACGCCGTGAAAGGCAGGCGTTTTTCATGGCGAGTCACCTGTGGTGGCTTCTGTGAAAAGCAGAAGGGGAGTGGTGAGGCGGGGCTCTTCACTCAATATCTGTAAGAGAGGTTGTATGAGGACTGATCCGCCCCCCGGCAGGCATCCGATTCTGCCCGCGGACTAGGCCTTATAGAATGGATTTAGTGGCTGAACCGCGTTACTCGTGATGGAATAGAGGTAATTCGCCGGGTCTGTCTTTTGCCCTGAGATGTGGGTTCGACTCCCGCTCACGACCATTCTTAAGAGTTTGTGCTCGACTGGCCAATCAAGTAAATCAACCGAAGAA